TATATTAAATGGATTCTTCAGATTAAAAATTTAAAAAGTTAGCTTGCTCATAATTTTGTTATGGTGGAAAGTTATTTTTATTGTATACCAGTGATTTTAAACACAGCACATCTTCTTTTTTAAATCAATACAATTAAAATTTACAGTTTTATAAATAACTTTATGCAAAAGTTTTAAAATAATATATGAAGACATAAAAATCAATAATTGAAATCTATAACAATGAGCATTTTTGTTTATTAGAAAAATATATCACAATGAAATCTTTTCAAAATTTTAATGCTGAAAAATTCATACAAATATCAGAGATAAAAATAATTTATTTACAGAAACTATATAACCCATAGAAAAAAAATTCTGAAGTTTCAAAATATTTCATCCTGTAGTTTGTTTTCACAATGCAATAAAACAAATGATACAATAGTTGCATCAAATGGACACATCCATGCCTCAGAGTTTAAAATATTTACAAAATAATTTATTGGAATAAATATGTCTTAACGAAACTACACTAAGAATTCAACAATTGGGAAAGGGTGTGCACTTAATGTACTTTGTTTTTCAGTATGATTCATGTAATGTGCCACCAGAAGCTAAGAAAATTACAATGGTGGGGGTAGAGAAATACTAATTAATTGAACTGTACAGTGGTTAGACGACAGAAGACAATAGTTTTTATTATTAATGGATTTCAGTCAATCTAGACCCCTGTTATCAGCAGAGCATTTCAAGAACGAACACTTGGGATTTTGCTTTTTCATATTTACATTAATGATAGTGATCAGTAAATTCAAATTTTGCCAATGACATTAAACTCTCTGGAATTTTCAGCTTTAAGGAGGATGTTGAGGTACTCATAATGATATTTAACAATTGGTAAGTTGGACAGAAATATAGCAAATAATCTTAACTTATAAGATGTACAAAGTAATACATTTAGATTATCATGGTTTGGATGGGAATACACTTAATAGCATGACTAAAGACAAACAATTTGGTATATTGGTGGAAAAGTCACTCATGCTGAGGCAGTGTGCTGTTACTAGCAGTAACAGTGATACATTTTTTGGATGTATTTATAAACACTGATTACAAGTCAAGGAAGGTTATTATCCCTCTATATAAGTCATTATTTATGTTACACTTGGAAACCTGTGTAGTTTTGATATCCTTATCTAAAGAAAGATCCTAACTTATTGAAAAGGATTCAAGGAGCTACTAGGATGATTCCAGGAATAGAAGGGTTATCTTAATGAGATAAGTTATTATATGATTTCTTATAAAGAGATGGATAAGAAGCCTTATTATAGTTTACTAGATTATCTAGGAAAATGATAGAATAAAAGCCTCTTATTTCCTTGTGGTATATCAAGTAGTCAAAAGCATGAGAAGACTCAAGTTTAAGATGTGGAAAAAGGCAGGCTAGTCTTCAGTTATGACAGTAATATTTCTCTAACTGGGCAATTAGCTAATGTAAAGAGTTGCCATCAGCAATAGTGGAGGCTAGCACATTATAATAGTATAAGATAGAAATAGATGATTTTCATAAATAGTAATGAGTGAATTTAATTTTTCTCTGGGATTGGTGTATAGGGACAGTCTTGAAGCAACAAACTGTTCCTTGTTGTCCAATTTTTGTGTCATGTTAGATATACTTATATCTTGACTTTGATGAGGTTCTCATGTACTTTTTTACAATATATATATATATAAAGTGATAAAAAATAACATATTTGAATTTAATTTTTAAACCAGGCTATTAAATGTGAAATAAAATTAAGGTGTTAAAAAAACAAAAATTAAAGCTCTTCAGATAGACCTGAACTTCCTGAATTTTGAGTTTCACCAAAGTGCTAACATTATCCCACTATTTCTAAATTCTGGAAGCTAGAACTTAAAATAACGTCTTTGTAAATGGTTGCTAATTAAATTAACCTCAAAGAAAATAGTAGGGGGAAGAAATCTCTGTGGTACTTTTAAGTGTAACTTATAAATGTAAACTATAAATATAATTATTAAGTTACAATGAAAATTGTCAGTGATAAACTTTTATTTGTACAACTTACAAGTTAAAGTTGTAAGGTTAGGACACTGCAGCTTGTAAGTGTAATTAAACTTTGTAAGACTAATACTCATTAAAAGCCGTAGAAATAATCATACATTTAAATGAATACTACTAGGCTACTAAGTACTTTAACTTGTAAGTTGATTTTTTTTTATTACTTCAGTGCTTGGCACGTTGTACTGTAGTTTGTACTACGGTTATTTAATGATTACTTTACACTTACAAGTTACAGTATCCACATTTTTAAAGTAATCAGGAACACAGTCATACATTTATTATAATTTATTTTAAAATAGAGAGTATGCTTCAATTCATGGATCTAATTGCTAAATCTTTACCTCATAAAAACTTCAACAACAATACAATAACATTTTCGTATTTACAACTAGCCTACTCCGAAACACCCCTGGCGACCTCTTCGGCTTTGTATAATGGACTTACTAATAAAAAATAAACATTTAGCAATTATCGTCTTGTTTGTTTGTTTTTGAATTTTGCGCAAAGCTACACGAGGGATATCTGCGAAAGCCGTCCCTAATTTAGCA